AAAGGACTGGTCCCGTTTCTGTATGAAATGCTACAAAATTTGTTGAGGGAAAGTCAGAGGCAGCAGAACAGATCTCAACGTGCACATTGCTGTCAACAAAACATCCTGGGAACAATCTCTGCATCACATAGTCGGTGCTAACATCTGAAATGAGTAACAAAGATACATGTGCAACATTGTAAAAAAAAAAAAAAATAAAATCCCTTCATCCTTATAAGGCTTCACATAAATATTATTTCCTTGTTCCTCAGGACCTCAGCTGTCTTAACTGAGAAGCTGGCCAGCAAAGGGGAAAAGTGTGCATCTCTCCTGTCCAAATTCACAGCTAATTTTCCAGAGGCTGACCACCATATTCAGAGAGTCAATAGCAGTAACCATGGACAGCCTCAGACTTGGAGAATCTGCATGAACCAGCAGAAAAATAAATAAATAAATAAATAAATAAATAAATAAAATATATATATTCTAGTAAAGCACCTTGCACTAAAAATCTCTGCAAAAATCTCTAGTAGTTTAAGTTCAGAGATTCTAAGCTTGCATAATACTTTAAAGGAAGGAGAAATTGAAGCCTGGGCAGCACAGTACAAAGGACTTTTTACACTGATCTGTCTAATCTTTTTTCCATCTTCTTATTTAAAGCAACAAACCTAACCAAAGATAAAGAGTCTCAGAGAGTGACTCATTGGTTTCAGAGGTTTCAAGGGTGTTCCAGTTCCAACTGGGAATTAAGGCAGATTTGCACATTTCCTTCCAGTTGTTTGCTTTGTTTTGGTTTTGTTACTGCTGGCTGCTGGGTGTCCTCTCTTACCCACTTCTGAAAACTGAAAATTATTTAGTGCACTGGTTCATACCTGGATCAAACTGAACGAGGTTGGCGGGAGTCACCATAAAGTCCTTTCCCAGCACAGCAGATATTTCATTGACCTAAAAATAAATCAAACAGTAAAAGCAATGCTGTAACCTATTCTACTGAATGGCTGCATTCTGCTGGGAGCTGAAGCTACTGTGTACCTCTCTGTGGAGTCCATGGCATCTCAAAAATACATTCCAATCCATATACATGCTTAGGCTGAAAAAAATATAAAGGTCTTAAGAATAAATGTGCATCTCTCATTCTGTACCTGCTCATGGCTTAAATCTCATATTAAATAAAGAAATGACTTATCCTAAAATTTTATCTCATCACCTCTCAAATTGCTACTTGACAGCATCAGAGAACCCTTCTCTTCACCATGCCTGGGAACCCTGGTTGCTGGGCAGACACAAGATGGCATCCTGGAAGAGTGGCTGCAGCCTGGCCACATATGCCCATTTAGCCTTTTGTGAGGTCTTGGAAGAAGCATTTGAATACAGAGCTGTCTGTTAACTCCAAAAACTTGGGATAGGCATGAACTCATACATAAGTATGGGGACGCTGGCAACTCCTTGTATTTTTGTAGGAGACCAATAGAGGAGACCAGCTTCTACACTGGGTTCTTGGTGCTGCGATCAATTTCACTGGTATTTTTAGCTCAATGACAAACAGAATAGAGTCAGTGGAGTCTTGAAAGACAGGCCAGGATGTCCCCTGATGAAGTCAACAGCAAAATTCCCACTGACTTCAGTGGAAGAAAAAATAAAAACTATTTTCCAAGTAGGACTATAATCCTGAGAAACTGTGAGAGGAAATTTTGTGTATTTTTCTAGCAAAGGGGACTAGTAAAATCCTGGAATTTCCATTTTACACAGAAAGATAACTTACATGGAAACAAGTTGCACAAAACCTATTTTTCAAAATTATAATCTACAGCTTTCAGTTTAATTTTTCAGACATAAGTCAGAGGATGTTAATTAAGGTATAGGGGGTTCTTTGTGCTATTTCCTAGCTTGATGGCTGTGGGTGGAGAAATGGAGGACACAGCCTGAGTTAAGTTCCCATAGCTCCTAGGCTTCTCCAGTCTGAGCAGGGAAACGAGGAGTCCCAAGGTCCCAGGTTGCCCAAAGTCTGGATTTTAGAGTGGCAAACCCTGGAAACCCAGCTGCTGAGCACATTGAGAGACGAAACTGCCTGATTTGTCACAGAAGTTCATAAAATCAGGAATACTGCTCCAAAACATTCCCATTTTGATTAATCAGCATTTCTACTTAAAAATCAGTAAGTTTTATCAAACATTTTTCAGCAATGTGTACCTAGTAAGGGTAAGTCTGGTTTGAGTTGCATGGTCTCTTTGGTGATTATTGAAATACCTTTCAACTCTGAGGAATGAATGAACGGGCTCCACTACTTATTATTACAATAATTGCAGTCAGAAGCTTGGCTTTTAGCTTTACCTTCACTGCAATAAAGGCAGACTCTGCAGAGTGTCCTGCTCTGGTGATTTTCAGAGACACCACTCCCACGCTCTCACACACTTCGTATTCAGTCTGTTGCATTTCAATTCGAGACCACTGCAGCTCCAGCCTGTGGAAGAGGAGGGAAAGCCTGTGTGAAGCAAAGCCAGTCCCCTGCTGCCCCCACCTCCTGCTGCTTGGAGATTTAGTGAGGAGCCGCTTCTCTCCCGACTGCTAATTTAGCCAATACACATACTGAGTCTTTGCTTGCAAATCAACACATTTGTGTGATTTGGTTGATTAGAAAGAGTGAGGTGCAGTTAATAAATCTTCCAGTCCACCCCAAACAAAGCCTTCAACAGGTTTCAAAACCAGAGGGGTTCTGCAGCAACTTTGAGAAGGGCAGTTTGTCCACCACACCAAGTATGTCAAGACAAGCTATCACTGTTCCTTTCTGTTTACCTTTAATCCCGTAGTTTTAGTTCGTTCTCATTCCCCAGCATTTTCTCTGCAGTATCCTACTTTCTTCCCATCTTCCTTCACCTATCCTCTAACCCTCCTCCTCCAGAGTACAGGGCACACCCTAAGACTTTACCACCTCTGGGAAAGTGCCCACCTCACACTCCTTACTTTAAAATGCTCTGTGTATTTTGCTCTTCAGCCATAGAAGTGGCTGAGGCAGGAAGTCTCACACACAGAGTTTTAGAATTGTTTATAGGGGGTGTGACCAAACCTCAGAGGACAGCACGCTGCTCAGGGTAGCTAATAAAGATCTCACCATTTTATATGCTGTGACAAAAATTAGTGGGAATCAGAGAGGAATGAAAGAGAGTGAAAAGATGGAAAATGAGCTGTGCCATTTACAAAACAATTTTAACTTTTCTTAAAAAAAACTCTGACATCTAGACCTTTCAGGACTGACTAGCTCTAACACCAGCGGAAGTTTCCTCCTGTCCCCCTATATCCTCTGATACTCATGGTGGTGTGGGTAACCCATTTAGAAGCTGATTTGCCTTCTTTTTACTAAAGAGGATGCATGTACCAGCTTCCAGATGTAGTCCAGAAGCATTTATATAAAATATATATATTATAGTATCAACATGCAAATCATACTTGTATTTCAAACCAGTGATGATAAATTGTTTGTTAAAAAAAAACCAAAACCAAAACAACAAAAAAATCCCAAAACAAAACAACACCTCTCACAATCTTTTAAATCCAAAATTAAAAATATTATTTTTTCTTAAAAAGTCCCATTCCCCTTTCTTCTGATGTCCAGTGCAGCCATCAGATAAATTCTGCTTCCCTTAAACTCCTGTTTTCCGTTTAAAAGGTGGCTTCTCTTCGCTTTGTTGCTGGAGCTGTGATGTTACACGTTGGTGTTCACACACAAGAGCCCACACTTTCCCACGAGGAGCGGCCACATTCTGACGGTGGCTGTGATATCCGTGCCCCTGTGAGCCGGCACAGCACAGCTGGGATGTACTCGGGCTGGCTGCGTTCAGATGTGTGTGCATGTGGGGACACCTCTTGGCACAGCACATTAACTGCCGAGATGCTGCCTCTGCTCAGCCCCGTCCCCTCTCTAGCACGGAACTGACCTGCAGAAGAGCTTGGCTCTCAGAGCCAGCCCTCTCTGCTCCTTTTCTCTCACCATGAGACCTGTTTTGCACACAGCCGGTTCAGCTCAGGAAAAGAGAATCAATCAGTTTTTTAGTTACTTCAGATTCAATAAATGGGTTGAACATTGAACCCTATTTTCAGAAACAGAGATGTTGCCCCTGCTGTGGAGATATACTTTCTTTTGGCCTTAATTTTCAAAGTACAGTTCAGATGATACCCTAGTCTGTCATTTTTGTACATTAGGCTTACATGTCACAAGGAAATTTTCATAATACCCAGTACAAATTTTGGCAGTAGATGACAAAGATGCTGTGTGCCTCCCACCTGCTTTCAGTCGTCCTTTGCAGAACTATGGCTCTCATACCTTTTCCTGCTTGAGACCATTCCCTCCATCACAATCTCAAGCTGTGAAAAAAGTGTTGCCCTTGAGAACTATGCCCCAGTCTGACATGGAGCTAAATTCATACCTTTGAGGCACTGCAGAGTTTCCACTGGCATCTGTGACTTGAAACTCCAAGTTGTCTGAATTCACTTCCCATGATGGATTGATGACATAAAGTATGATTTTGCTGTTTAAATCCTTTTGGCTAAACCCTTCCTGAATAAATCCACCTAAGAAAGAAGAGAAACACTAAAGTGAATCGAAACCCTGTTAATAAGAACTGCATAGCTCCTGTAGACTCTTTTTTAGCTCTTATTTTGTTCAACACTTAGAAAATCTGAACTTACAGAAACCGAGTTTTATAGTTAAACAGCAACATCCTAGCTTGTTAAAGGCTCCAGCCAAATTCTTCCTATGTGACATGTTTATTTAAATGGCTTTTTTTCTTTTTTCTTGACACATAGAAAAATTATTTTCTCAATGGCAGCTATTAACAATCATCTCAAACTCTTTGATGATTCAGAATGAACATGAGATTCAGGCTCTAGTGTAAAAGCTTTCTTGCTACATTCAAACCTTGCACAAAGTTTGCTAAGAAATTTTTATTACCTGTATCAAGTAAATACTAACAGGAGAGTTTTGGGAATCTAGTCTAGCATGTCTCAAAATACACAATTTATGAAAGACATCACCTGTTGTTACGTTTTCCAGGTAGCCATAATAAGGACCTTGTAGAATCTTAAAAAATATTTTGTCATCTTCTGTATTGGGGTCAGATGCCTTCAGGGACCTGGCAGTAATATAGATCCCATAATTGCCATTCTTCAGCAGTTCCACATCAGAAAGACCACGGAGATTAATGATTTTTGGTGCCATTTTGTCCAAATTATCCACCTAAATCAAAGTTAAACAAACATACATTCATTTTACTACGTATGTTACTTTTGGTAACACCACAGTGGCCTGCTCAAGGTGGCAATAGCCATTTTGATTTGCAGTCTGCTCCAGAAGAAGTCTGATCTCTCATGCTACTAGCCATGAGATAATTCTGGGCCCAGATTCCCCAGTCACTGCATACAGCAGGAAACCAGACACTGGGGAGGGCAACATAAATTCTGTATACCTCTGCCCTGGTGTCCCACACTCCCCATAGTCCTTCTCATTTATGATGTAATTTTCTGCATGGCAAATTAAAACTCCTTCAAGGTTTCTCACCTCTATTTTACCACAAAAACCATACAAACCAAAGGATTATTATAACAATAGCCAGAGGTCTGGCTAATAGGTCTTCTTGAATCTGTGCCACCTTTCACAACTGCTGATTAATCTTCTAGCACCTGGCAACGGTTGTTGCTCTTTCTATATCTCATCTTCTGTTAAAATCACACTCCTCACTCATCATATATCCTCAGTCTTTGTCATCAGGAAAAGTTAAAAGCCTTTTCATTAGTATCAGTGTTTTGAAACATACAGAATTTTTACATACAGTGCAACCTGGTCTGCAGTATGTATAGAAACATGCCAGACAGACACATACAAGAAGTCACAGCAAATGTATCTAAGCCTATGACACAGTGGGAAGAGCTTGAAAATGAGGGAAATAAGTGAACAGGAAGATCCTTGTAAAGGAAGGAAGAGTCAAAGCAGGCGTCTTACAGACTGTCACCAAGGAGGACAGGTTGTCCAGTTGTGGGAGTAAAGGGCTGTAAATGAATATTCCTGTGACATGAAGATCAGCAGTCATCCTCGTATCTCTCACATGCAAATCAGTGGGTCAGTGGGAAAGCTGAGCAGGAGGAATTTCATTCCTCCCCATAGCTGGGCTCAACTTCAGAGTTAAGATTTCTATGTCAAATATTTTATCAAGTACAATTATACACTTGCTTATATTTATATAAACAGGAAGTCTTTCTTCCCTTAAATGCAGTCTCTTTGCACTGTATAAAATTAATTGCCTGAGTAATGCATTGTGGCAAGTAGTTAATTCTTCAGGTTAATTATTCATGGAACAACACAGAAAGCAAACATTTTAGCTGATAAATACTTCATTTAAATCATAGACTGCAGCAGACACAAGTTCTCATAAAAATTACTACATTTTACACCTTCTCCTGCTATATATCTCTTTAAGTAGACTGGTGGTCACACTTGCCTGAATGGTGAATGTCATTGGCTCGCTCTGCACCCTCCCATTCACGATGAAGCCTTCATTAGTCATATCTGTTGCAACAAATGTAAATCTGTCCATCTGGGAATCCCCACTTTGGTGCTTGTATGCAACATCCCTGTTGTCTACATCTTGCTGGGTGAAATTGTGCTGCAGTAGCACAGCCCCTCGATAATAGAGATGACCGTACTGGGGGAGTTGAGCCAACAGGAAGGTGAGGTTTTCTTTGGCAGTGTCTGGGTCTGAAAGCTGCAGAACATCAGGAGAAAGAAGTGCCATAGTGCCTTCCACTAGTCTTAGCCCTGCATTTTTAGATAGCGTCGGCAAAGCTTGATCAGCTGCTTCCAAGGAGATCATGAATGTCCCATGCTTAGTCCTCAGTCCATTGCTGATGATGAATCTGGCAAAGAGAGGCAAGGTAGTCTTCAGCATGTGTTCTTGATTCACCATATACTGAAATGAAATGATAATATACACCTTTACTACAGGACTTGCCTGTGTTGATACTGCACAAGTAGTAGAACTGGTTTGAGCTCAAACTCAGACTGTGGGTCAACTGGATTTATAACTTAAAAACATGAGAACAGATGGCCAGGTATATGGCAAGAGTTACAATGCATCTGCAGGAATCTGAGTAGATGCCAGAGGAATGGCTTTGAGGATTTACTCATCAGGCCCAGCAGTCATAACAGACCTGATCTAATCTTCTAGCTCAGAGACAGATGGAGCAGATCTAAAATGATGGGATGGCTGCGGGGCTTATTGCATGCATGTGTTTGTACACATCCTTAAGTATATCTTCACTTGGTGAAGTGGCAAGTGCCAATGAAATTGCTGGCTTTTTCTACAACTTACAGAAAGAGATGTGTAAAGTGTGTGGTCTGCTTGGACAACGTTTTTTTCTCTGATCATTGTAACAAGCCTTTTGTACACGATAGTCTCAAAACTATCTAAAAAAGTAAGCTGCAAAAAGGTCCATCCTCACCTGACTTTGTGGCTTTGGTTAGTCATTAACTATATCTGTATAAAATTAAAGAGAAAACCAATATTTTAGCCTTTAAAATTCTTCCTAGTTTTCACTGCCAAGATTATGAAGTATTTTTTTTTCTGAAAGCAACTACATTGCACATTGTCATGCCTGTAACAAAATTTTAATGTTATATGAAACTAAAAAAATTGCTTTAAAAACGTCTCATAATCCTTCACGTCCCATTGCTATACAGTAGGTAAGTTTCACCATTACTTCTACAGAAGTTTCTGTGGTTATGCAGCGTAATACATGTATCTTGGAGAGTGATTTTTACCCAGGTTAGCTCTGCCTGTGCCAGAACTACTCCTCACAGCTCCTGAGCTTCCTTTTTCTTCCACTCTCCAGTGCCCAGCACTTTGAATGTAGCATGTAAAGCTAGACTTACACAGTTGATCTTCTGTGGGACAGTATCATGGGATGGTCGTTTCATACAATATGAAGGCAAGACTAGCTGGTTACCTTCCAGCTAGCATGTTCCTACCATATACAGGGACTGGTTGACGTTTAGATTATCTTCCTCTTCTTGTTCTCTTGACTGCAGAACTTGGAGAAGTATTTAAATAATTACAGGGTCAGAACGTTGCCTGTTTGTTGTGTTCCTTGAATGTAAGTGACCTTTAGTAGGTCATGGAGTAGATTACTGTGTCACACAGGCTGTCCATCTAAAACTCCTCATTGCCTTTACCAGTGCAGGATGATTAGGGCTTGATCAAGTTGTAAGCTGGCAGTATGCCATGAAACAGATGGGAATGAGCATAGGCAGACCAGGGAGTATACAACAGTTAGAAATATGTTTACTGAGGATGGTATTCCCAGCTGGGAACCTAGAGACATCTGTCTGCACTGACCTAATGCTATTGTGCCAGTGGTAAAAGTGTTGTGCTATTAGTAATCCAGCTGAAATAAAATATATAATTAGAATAATGATGATAAATACGATGCTAAGGGGGGAAAATAAATAAATAAATAAATAAATAAATAAATAAATGGACCCCACACACATTCAGTTAAGACCTTATTCATCTCTCAAAAAGTCTGCAAGATTCCAGTGTGGATTTCCTCTGGTTTTTTTGATGGCTGTAAAATAATCTGGATGATAGCTCAAACAATATTTACTTGAAAAACTTAGATAATTCCATTTAATAGACTGAAGATTTGTGCAGTCCTCTACAGAATATCAGATACAAGCAAAACTCCTGGTTATATACATCAGACTGAAATTTACTATGCAAATGTCATATGCCAACTTGATTTCACAGGTGATGAAGCTGCCTGTGTCCAGGACGTAATTTTTTTCAGCACTTTGGGAGATTTTGGTCGTTTATTTCTGGTTTATGGCTGCTTTATCTTTCCCTCAGGAATGGAGAGCAGCCAACATTCTCCTCACTCTGATGAAATTCAGGGGACAACTCCCAGGCACAGTTAGGAGGACATGTTGCATGGTTTGATTTCACCATTACCAACATTTCATGCTTTCTGCAGTTTGATGGCAACAGAGTTGGCCATAGGACCTACCATCTGTCATGGCATTTAAAAGATAAAAGTGGAATCATAAATAGTGCCAGCTCATTACAAAATCGAGCCAGCGTGTCAAAATGGAGGACATTAGCATGTTCTTTTAGTATCCTGCTGCCAGCATCTGATGTCAGGTTGCTAATCACTTGAAGTCATCTGTCCAAATAAGTACTGCCAAATCTTTCTTCCAGGCCAGCAGCACCAAACAATATAGGCAAATTTATGTCTGAAGGAAGTACTCCAGTGGAAAGTAGAAATCTGATCAGTTAATCTCCCATTCTATAATTACCCATATAATTAATGTAACCTTTCCTTGTTTGAATAACAGTCATGTTCTGCCACAATATTTATATGTCTACACAAAACTAAATTCTTCTCCAAATGGTAACATCAAGGAACAACAATTATTGTGATTAAAATAGACCTTTAATATCAATATTTATTAAAGTACATAAATAAATGGACCCCACACACATTCAGTTAAGACCTTATTCATCTCTCAAAAAGTCTGCAAGATTCCAGTGTGGATTTCCTCTGGTTTTTTTGATGGCTGTAAAATAATCTGGATGATAGCTCAAACAATATTTACTTGAAAAACTTAGATAATTCCATTTAATAGACTGAAGATTTGTGCAGTCCTCTACAGAATATCAGATACAAGCAAAACTCCTGGTTATATACATCAGACTGAAATTTACTATGCAAATGTCATATGCCAACTTGATTTCACAGGTGATGAAGCTGCCTGTGTCCAGGACGTAATTTTTTTCAGCACTTTGGGAGATTTTGGTCGTTTATTTCTGGTTTATGGCTGCTTTATCTTTCCCTCAGGAAGGGAGAGGAGCCAACATTCTCCTCACTCTGATGAAATTCAGGGGACAACTCCCAGGCACAGTTAGGAGGACATGTTGCATGGTTTGATTTCACCATTACCAACATTTCATGCTTTCTGCAGTTTGATGGCAACAGAGTTGGCCATAGGACCTACCATCTGTCATGGCATTTAAAAGATAAAAGTGGAATCATAAATAGTGCCAGCTCATTACAAAATCGAGCCAGCGTGTCAAAATGGAGGACATTAGCATGTTCTTTTAGTATCCTGCTGCCAGCATCTGATGTCAGGTTGCTAATCACTTGAAGTCATCTGTCCAAATAAGTACTGCCAAATCTTTCTTCCAGGCCAGCAGCACCAAACAATATAGGCAAATTTATGTCTGAAGGAAGTACTCCAGTGGAAAGTAGAAATCTGATCAGTTAATCTCCCATTCTATAATTACCCATATAATTAATGTAACCTTTCCTTGTTTGAATAACAGTCATGTTCTGCCACAATATTTATATGTCTACACAAAACTAAATTCTTCTCCAAATGGTAACATCAAGGAACAACAATTATTGTGATTAAAATAGACCTTTAATATCAATATTTATTAAAGTACCACCACCTTACTTTTAAAAGGCGGACTTTCTAGTTTCCTTCTAAGCCATTGGCTTAAAAAGAAGACATTTGGTTTAGCCAGATGCAGTTTCCCTATAATTGTTTAGTGTAGAAGTCATATTGATCAAAACTATTCCTACACTGCCTAAGCTAGACTTGTCATGACTGCAAACTTACTTGTATAAGCAAATTCTAGTTTTGAGTATAGTATTTCACAACTGGGAAAAATAAAGAGAGGATTTTTTCACTTTTTCTGTTACGACTAGAAGTGCATCAGACTAATCTCCTAACTAGAATTTCCACCACATTGAATTTAATGGAAGGGATAATTTAAAATGTTTTGGTTGTGGAAAGTCCCAGGATTTCTTTTGGCTTAACTCTAGATAATGTCACCTGGGCTGCCCTGGTGTCATAGGGAGCTTTATTTTATGTTTCCATGACCCATTTTCTTATCTTCCCTGTAAAAATGCTCTTAAACTAGATGACATAACATGTTCTTGAATCTTCATCATGCATTATGGAAAATGCTGTTCAGATCATTAATATATTCATAAAAGGGTATAAAAAGGGGTGTTATCTGAATTTCAACTCTTAGGAGCTAAATCCTTTATTTTATCTTAGTCACAGATGAGAAACCAGTAAGCTTCTATTTTTGTGTGGAAATTTGAATTTTACAAAAAGTCCATTGCCTTCAAAAAGCTGTCTTCAGAGGAAATTTCTATTGCTAGCAAGAAGTTATCATTCTTCCTTTAAAATATTTTCTTTATTTCTAAGGTTTTTCCTGAAGTTACAAAATTGTTCCTGACATTATGAGCAACAGTACATCTGCTCTGTCTTTACCTGATGATAACTCATTACATTATTACATTCTGTAAACAAGAGAGGTTCGTTTAAGAACAAAATAAATGAATATTCACTTTAGGAGTGAGCCTAGTCTAAGCTGGTCTAAGGGCAAGGTTCAGAACCAGGTTAAAGTCAACTTAAATATAATTAGGCCTAGGTAACTAGATTCACCCCAAAAATCCCATGGTCTACATGACTTTTTGAGTTATTGTGGTATCAGAATAGGTAAATGGACTGGTTTTTAGTATGTTCAGGAACATATAATAAATAAGAATAAACAAGAAAGCAGTTATTTAATATCTGAATGAAACAATTTTACCACACCTACCTGTAGCAAAAAAACCCCAACAAACCACAAAGGAAAATTCCACAAAGTATGTTCTTAGACTTTCTTAGCAGCTGTGCTGTCTTAGCAGGGTGCGGTAATTATGTTGAAGCTGGTATTTTTGAGTGAGCATGGCTCTGACTAGAGTTTCAGCACCAGGATTACCAAAGCAGTTACAACTGTATGTATGATGGTAGAAATATCTTTGCTATATAAATATTGAGAATTCCCACAGATATTCCACCTCATTTTAAGCATTTGAGTTGAGTTTTTATGTTTCATTTTGGTTTGTGTTTTGGCATTGTTTTAGTACCAAAGAAATCCAAGGAAAAAGGGTTTGGTGGGTGGGATATTAAGCCTTACCTGAATGTATCTTCAGGAACTGCCTTAGTGTTGTGAACATAGCAAACTATCTGTCTTGCTACATCCATTTGACTGAAGCTTGTAATGGGAATGTCAGGATAGCTGATATACTCTATTTGTCCATACTGAGGAGGGGAGGTTATCACATAAAGGAGCTCCTCTGGCTTGTCAGTACCATCCAGTGCAAGGAGGACATCAGTTGTAATATAGCCCCGACCCCCTTTTGGCACTCTAAGAGGTTTTGTGGAAACAGCAATGTCTCCTGCAGGACAAAAGAAAAAACACTAGTATAGCCATATTTAATTGTAAGTTTTTCTCATGCGTTTTTGAGCCACATGCAAGCCATCACCAATAGAAAAATCATAGGACACTAGGATTACAGGGAAGTTCAGGCTGGAAGGGACTTCAGTATTTCTCTAGTCCAACCTTCTACTTGAAGCACTGTCAGCCATGAGATTAGCAGCAACCAGGTTGCTTAGGGCTTTATCATGACCTGAAAACTGCCAGGGATGGAGACAGCACAATCTCTCTGTATCCTTGTTCCAAACTTAGCAGTGTCAGGTTAACTTGATCTAATTTGGATTCCTGATAGGGATGCAATAAATTAAGAGGGACCAGAATACTAGAGCATAAACCTGGAAGACAGAGCTGTTCTTTAACATTATTTTGTGTACTTTAATGATATTCTTGCTATATTTCTGTGCTTTGATTTACTCCAACATAAAGCTAATTTCAGAAGAATATTTTCAGCTTTATTTGAAATGTTTTTGGGGTCCTGTGAGGCAAGGTGCAACACATTGCCTAGGGCAGAGCATTTTCAACTCCCAGGACCACTTCTTCACCAGCAGTAACACCAGGGGTCTGACCAGCTGAGAAATCCAAGCAGGTGGACTTTTGGGGTCTGCAGGGAGACTTGCCAAGGGCCTGCCTAGAGTTCAGGGAACATGCAGTGTTCATGCACTGAGATAATATTTGTTTCAAAAACAGGCACTGTATAAGATCTGGCAGGTCTTTACCCTTTTCCATGTCCTTTATATTTATGTAGAAGTTCACAGCTGGGGATCTGTTGTACCCATCCCACAGATAAAATGTGAAGCTGTCTTGGTTCTTGGACCCTATAGCTCCTGTATGGATGTATCTCACAAGATTCAGATCCAGTTCTTCCTGACTGCACTTCATTCCAGTTTGGAGAGTCACCCAACTTTTGCCTACCTAGAAAAAACAAACATCCTTCATTAAACAGATAGTGCTCCATGCATCCTCTCCAGTTAACTGTTTTTGTTTGCAGTTATGAAAACTGTTGGTAGAAGCTACCTAGCTCCCTTTCTAAGCTATAGACTCTTTCCTCATAGTATGTTTTGAAGAGCAGTAAATAGCTGGAGTCATTCCCAAGCAGTTATAAGGCTGGAGAAGTTACAGTGATCATGAAGAAAATGAAGTAAATGGAATTTAGCCACTTTTACTCAGGATCTACATTTCCACAGACTTCTCAATGAGACACCAACCAGGTGAAAATGAAACAGTTCCTGACCCAAGTTGTTTTCTATGTCTTAATTTCACAAAGCTGGTCTTGGTTCCATACAAAACTATACCTAGTGACATACCAGAAAAGAACTTATGGGGAAGTTCAGGGAAGAACAGAAATGTAGGGCTTCAGAGGTCCTCTGATGGAAAAATGTGAATTGCCAAAAAAATGTGCCTGCTTTTCATAAGATAACATAGTACCTTGTGTTGGACTGATCTGTGTATTTGACATTGAGGCTACACTAACAGTGTCAGTGCCTTTAGAGCAAAGTTTAACAAGGACAGATAGCTCAAAAACATGTGGGTACCCTATATGTTCAAACTATCGGACTCCACCCACAATTCACAAGTCTCATGTGATCTGCAGATACCTGCAGGGCTGCAGCATCAACATACCTTCCAGGATCACAGGTCTTAGAAACAAATTTATTATTTTTTTTTCTGTTATGTATCCATGTAATTAAAAATATACTTTTTTTCCCTATCTCTGTTTTAGTGGCTTAACTTTGGTCAATAGGTCATTATCTTTCTTTCCATTTATAATTTTATTTTATAGCTTTCCTCTTGCTATATTCTTTTCTTTTTCTTTTCTTTTTTTTTTTTTTTATTTCTTTCCTTTCCCCCATACTTCCAAGTCATTATTTATTGCTCACTCTTTCATACACATCTCCTTCCATTATTTCTGAACCCTGAAGTAACTGAAGTAATGGCTTACTTGTCACATATTTTTTTTTTAAATCAAGGACGTCCCCCACTCCCTCCTAGCTTTAATGCTTGGTTTTCCCCTTCTGTGGACTGATTCTCTCAGCTTCTCTCTTCATTGTCACTTCAGATGATCTCCCATGCTTTCCTCCCCCCCTCCTCCTGTGAAGGATCTGACCTTTAGTGCCAAAGCCTCTGGGACATCATCATTGTTTGGTTCAAACACAATTTCCACAATTAAACTGGTCACAGCCTTCTCTTCAAAATATGACAGACATTTGGGAGAAAAGGAAGATGAACTTCATTCTAACCCAAAAAGAGACAGTTCTTTGCATGGCTGCTTTTATTGCAGTACAAAGACTAACCTTGTGCTGAAGCTGACCATTTTCTGGAATTCTTTCAAATAAGTAGTAAATTCTCTCCCTGGGGGTATCTTTATCTTCTGCTGACAGAACAGCACTAGAAATTATTCGAGCTTCACCCATGTTCACCTCTATATCATCCTTCCTGCAAAAATTAAAAGTCACGTATTGATGCAATGAAAGAAAAGTAACCCTTCCAACATGTAAATTCTCTGCCAGAAATATGGATTACCCAGATGCTGACAGAAATGACAACAGCAGAAAGAATGAAAGGAGGGTGTCTATTTCAGTTTAAAACGGGGGGGAACCAAACAGATACTTAAAACAACCTGGGGTTTACAATATCCATCTTCTTCCCCTGGGCCCTATTCCAGTTACCTTTATACAATTTATAAGAGGACAATGTGAACAAATAGGCTGTATTATATGTTACTGCTACTATAGACCATAGCAATATGGGCTCTAAGAAGCTAATGTAAAGACTGTCTTTCAAATTGCTAGTTTGTCACTGCTCACCTTAGTCTTTAAGAGATACTACAAAGACCTAACTGGCTTGTTCTCTGTGCTCCCCATTGCAGAATATTCCTGGGTTCTGGATTCAGAAAAGTAGGTTAAGGCCACCCGTTTCTTGGTAGAAATGGCCATCACTAGTCACAAACAAAATTTGAGGCAGCTCTGTGGAAAAAAATCCCACATTGTTTGAAATTAATTATTCTTAGATTGTGTCTCCTCTGTTTCCTTTCTTAACCAGTAACCATCCTCCAGTTTGCCTCTGCACACCCTGTTTTATAATTTTGCTGGTAAGTGTCTTACATTTTCACAGTGTAGTACCCAAACAGTATTATTAAACCCTACAAAAGTTTCAAGGGATTTGGAGGGGATTCAGCATATACAGTCACACCAGGGATGGGACCTGCTCAAGCTAATCTGCCCATAGGCCATGAAGCACGTTGGGAAAGGACAGACTGTTTAAGCACTTGGACAGCTAACCTCTGGCTGGATGCAACCAAGTACGTGCAAGCCATGGTATTTCAAAGGCCAAACATGAACAGATTTTTGCAAGAATTGCTGAAGACACATTCTTCATCTAACAGCCCTTTCTTTTGCCAAGCTGCAAGTGCCTGTTACAAATCGGAGTGACAACTGAGATTTCCAAACAAGAAGATGTCACAATTACTTAGTGATTTTGAAGAATACATCCTTTATTGTCAGAAAAAGTGGAGATTTTTTTCCTGGTTTCGTTTTCAAAGTGATATGGATACAAGACAAAGAAAGACCATGTTTGGCAAAATGAGAAGCAAAGCAAATGGAGTCATGTGACAAAGTATATCAAGTCATATTGATGACATATCAAGCAACCTTGATGGTTTGCTCACGCCAGAAATAATCATGATGAGACTGTGGAAAGAGAAAGAACAGGTGTCTGAACCAAAGACTATTTGACCTAGGAAGAGAAGATTAAAAAAAAAACAACAACAAAAAAACCAAAATGCCCCCACATAAACACAAAAAAACACACATAAAAACAAAAAACAAGTGAAGAAAAAAGTGTTTAGCTACACCCTGAGTGCTGTGTAATACAAACTCATTTTTCTGTGCAGCAGTTAGTTGATTAAATCTAGCACCCACATGTCTCATCCTGAGAAGAAGCTCTCAAGGAGAATGGCCTTACATTCCCCTAGGACACTCCCTGTTACAGGACACAATCCAAGAGGTGACAGATTGAGTTTTTGGCAATCACTGTGAATAAGAGCCGCTGTTTGCCAGCCAAAAACATCCCATTCTAGATTCCTCAGTCTTTTGACCATACCTACTGGAGATGAGAACTGGGGTGGAAAGGTGTCCCCAGATCAAAAGATGAGAAAAATCTTGCACATATTGTCAGATGTTCACCTGTACAACACTGGAGTGACAAGAGGGAGCTTCTACCCCACAGTGAAAATGTGATAACTGAGTGTCACCACTTCAATGCCAAACTGAATGTGTTGCACTTAAAGCATTACTGCTTAACTCCTGGCATCATACTGCATCTCAGTAGAAGAGCAATAGGCAAGAAGAAGTAACTTCTTGTCATGAAATTGCTGTTTTGTAAGTAGATGGCTCACCATGTGCTACTGTTCACCACAGGAATGACAAACAGTAAGATCTAACATTGCCAGACATGGCAGCAACGGTTTCTGTATCTAGTTGGGCAAAGCTAAAAAAACATGATTTCTTGCACTCCACCACCTCCCTTCAGAAAGAGTGGAAAATTACATAGTAATCTTCACCATATGGGGAACAAATAGGCAATTGTCAGTAATTATCTGTATACATGATATAAATACATAAACTACACCCCATTATTCTAACCAGATATTTACTTTCTCTCTTGTTAGCATTATGTGGTCCTTGATAATCTTTCAACTATAAAACTAATATTTGTTAATGCAGAATGTCTACATGGTGAAAAATCATTAAAAATTCTCCGCAATGGGAAATGAAGGTCTGATCTGAAGGTAGGCCAAATATCCTGAGGGATCGGAAATTCTCACTTCAGTGGCAGCCTGCTTAACAGGCTGTGCATCATTTCTAAAATGCAAACTTTAGAGTTTTGGAGCTATACCCCCAAAGCCTTCAGGCTTCCAGCTCCCCATCTGCCTGCCTGGGACTGGAATGCAGCCAGGAGGACAGAGGCCCTGATGTTCTGTAGCAGGTCATCAGCTAAAAAATGGGGATTCCAAGGGATGAGCTCCCTGGCTAAAAAGCCCAGGAGGTTTGGCTCTCTTGAAGCCAGCTGCCTGTCTGCAAATGGTCTGTCAGGCAATTCCTGACCAGGTCTAATTAATTTATTATTTTTTGTTTTGGACAGTCAGGGAAGCTGAATTATGGCTGCACAGTACAGTTTTTTAATAGAAGAGAATCATTAAGCTGAAAGGCTTTCCCTGTGAGGCAAGGAAGGATCAACCTGTGGATTCTCTCCTGCCAAAATCCAGAGCTGCTTTCAGAGACATGTTTTAGACAGGCAGTTGCCTCTAGGATAGGGAAAGCAAAGGAACTGTGGTCAATACCATGACTGACAGTGGCCAGCAGAGGTGTACAAAGATCAAGTCTCCCAGGTAGACACCTTGAATTAAGTTGTGAAAGGCAAAACAAATGTTTTCCTCCCCTTTCTTTTTCTCTATTCTTTTAATATTGAGCAATATTAAATCATGCCCTTTTTTCACTAAAATTGTTTTTGTTAAACAGGCTGACAGAGTCTCACACAGAGGCTTCTGTATTGACGTTAGTCTGGGACTAGTTATGGCATTGTCTCCCCATCAGTCACCAATTTGCTGTTCTGATGACTTTTGGGTCATTTCATCTAAACTCATCCCTCTGTCAGAGACAGGAACATGTGGCTTACTTGCTCAGCACTGGTTTCTCATCATTAACTGGAATGACCTTTACTGAAATGGTTCTGAGGACTTTATGCTTCCCATCTGATAGCTGGATTTTAAAGCTGTCACTGAGGTTTTCCGTATTGTCATGCATGTACATCAGCTTCATTCCTATGCAGAGGGTGAAGGGTGGGAGAAAAATGGAAGAGAGAGATAGGAAAAGAACAAATAAATCTGACTCCTACAGAATTCTCTCACATCATTTAACCCCGCTTCCATCACCCTTCTTCCATCTCCCCTTCCCATATGCCCAAGTCACAACAAGCTTGTTTCAGCTATCAGAAGATGAGCTTGGAGAGTCATCGCTGTTGATTAATTTAACAATTTTGACTCAAAGACACCAGCCTGACCCTAATAAGGAATTACTTTATTCACAGAAGGGGCCCTGTTGGTCTGAAAAAATAACATTTCCTCTCCTCTCCTTGTTCCAGTTCATTTTAACAGGGACCATAGAAAGGGTGAGGCTATCAGGCAACAGTTTTCTGGGTCTAAATAATCCTCAGGAAGCTTTAAATAAGACATGGGGAGAACAGCTGGCCTTGTGATTATGACCCTGGACAATTAGAAGAATGGGACTGGAAGTGGCTTTATCACCATTTTGGACAGGAAAAGACAAAAATTGTACCACTGGAAGAGATTAAAAAACAGGATTTGGAAAGGCTGAGGAATTTGGGGTGGTGGCATGGTATTTCTCAAGGTTCATATTAGACAGACGAAGAGGAGAAAAATCTTCCTCAGGTTCTGAGGGCTGAACTGCAACCTGAGTGACAGGATTGAATTGATATCCCCTTTATATTAATAGATACCACCTTTCACTAGATGGCCACTTTCTGGAAGAATCCATCATATTCTTGGCAGTGTTAAATACACTTTTTGATTACATGTACTTGAAAGAGCTTTGCCGCTTCAAAGCATATTAACTAACAATGCTGAACTATAGGGCTTCAGTTCATACCTTCCTGTTAGGCACATGAAGGTATAATGATGTTATACATTGTGTCCTTCTAATATATAAAGGATGCTTATAGGAAAGGTGTGTAGAGACTTTTTACCAATGCTGGTAGTGGCATGACAAGGGACAAGAGTTTTGGATTTACATCTTTATGTTTAGATTGGACATAGGAAATAATGTTTTACAACAAGGTGGTTAGACACTGGGACATGTTTCCCAGAAAAGCTGTGAATGCCCCCTCCTCAGCCAGTCTGGATGGGGCTTTGAGCAACCTGGTCTAGTGGAAAGTGTCCATGTCCATGCAGGGGTTTTGAGTAGATAGTCCTTAAATGTTCCTTCCAACACAAACTGTTCTATGATTCTGTGATCATTTAGAGCAATATTTAACCTCATAAAACAGTCTCCCTGTCTCTATTCTAGATTTTGAAATCTGTTTGCTGATATGTTACACTATTCTCTTTATTATTTCAGGGCAGGTGGCCTTCCTTATCATATTACTACCCTTATTCACATGTAGGCCTTTCAGGACAACTTTACTGGCAGTTTTTAAATTCAATACATAACATTGGCATTAAATAGCCTACCTTCTATTCCTAAACATTGTCTTGGAAATACACATAAGGCAAGTGAATAAATAAGTAACAAAGGTTTCTTATTGTGCCGCCTTCTCTCATTAAAGGAATGAAAGACCAATGTCAGAAGAATGCCACACCTACCATTCTTCAGTAGATCCATGGAAAAGTCGTCAACAAGCAACGCATGGCTGTTGTGGTCATGGTTAATTAACTTCTTATAGTGAAGAACATCATTGCCATGAACACCATTAATAAGGAACCCATGCTGGGGCCTCTGCACAACCCTAAATACTAGACAGTCTTTGGGCACATCCAGATCAACTGCATTGATAACAGAGAGATCCACTTCTTTCATCTCCCCCTCTTGAACCTGAACACACACACACGAAAAAAGTAGGGTATTTTTGTGTAATAGTGTATTTCTTTGTTTCCTCCACCCCTTTCCCAGCAGCTGTTCAGCCAGGTACTGATTTCAACCACTTTAACAGGCATAGAGTAGGAAACAGTTACAATGATGAGAAGGTGAGATAAGGAGTTCATTCCTACCTCAGTTAACAGAAAAGTTGTTAGATGAGTAAATTTCATATTAAGTGCTAGGGAATGCAGACAGGAGAAAGCCTATAAATACATAAATATTTATAAAAATATGGATGCGTATAAATTTATACACATACATTCACTTTTACTTTACAGCAAGATAAGCTTACACTGTCCTTGCATGGTGGTCACAGAGATATTATTTATATTAAAAGCAGTATTCAGGAAGGGGAGAAGCTATGTTAGAAATACAAAAATATCTCTGAAAAAAATTGGGAAAGGCTCTTGAGAAGCCAGAAGTGTACAGACTCTTCTGCTTTCTAGATGACTGATTTTTTTAAAAATTGGATCCTTTTTTTTTTTTTTTTTTAACTGAACTGCAAATTACCGAACAGAGCTGTGCACTGTTCCAATCTCACTGAAGCTCTGTTTTACAGGTTTACATGGGATTTAATTGGGTGGGCTGTTCCCTGAACTAGGCTGAACTACAAAGGAAAAGATGCAGAGGAACAGATGTTAGAACACTGTTTTTACTGACATTGATGAGTGTTTTCTGTTTAAAATAATTATATTAATTCTTCCTTACTGTAAAATTTGTTGCTGTGAATTCTGGGACTTCATCATTGGTTGGGTTGATTATCACAGAAAATGAAGTCTCTGCTGAATGATGCATCCCATCAGTGACATAAAGCACAAAGTGGTCTGCTGTTGGTTCCATTTGCATGTGCCTGGCTTGTACATAGTTTATTTTCAGGGATTTCAGGTGTTTCAGCTGAAAGGAAGCTAGAGGTTATAAAGAGATTATTAGTTAGGACATCTTCTCCTTCCTTCTGATCTTATGTATCATTAAAAAAACCTGGAACTGTCTTTCTTCAAAGAACAAAACCCCGGATTTTTCAATCTTTTCAATCTTTTGTGGCTGAAAGACTTAAACTGCATGTACTGCAAGACACATAACCTTCCCCTGAAACAAAAATGCATTCCTCTGCTACTTGTGGGACTGTACAACTTTGTACTGTTAAGTTCAGTCAGCAGAACTGAGATCAAATAAAACAAACAAACAAACAAAACAAACAAACAAAAACAAACAGGTAGGAAAAGATATGAGGTCTAAGCAATTGCATTGAATGTTATTTGACTGACAGACCAGGAAAACGGGGACCTAAAACTCCATGGTTCTGAGTGTTCACTGGTAAAAGCTGGTAGCATTACAGGGCTCTCCTGAGGATGAAGTTGCCTTACAATGTTAGAAGGAGGACAAGGGAAGAGACCCACATCAACCACCATCTCTAACGCTTTTGCAACTTTGCCTTGGAAAGTAGTCAGGGTACCCAGGCTTGTCAAATTCTCAGCTACAGCATTTAATTGACAGAAGTACAGGTGAAGAGAAGTGCAAGAGCCTTGCCTGAGAGACTGAAACGGGAGGCAAAGAGAGCAGATTAATGTCTCATATCACCTCTTCTAATATCTTTCAGCTGGAATGCATAAAACAAGGATTGGTTGTTTACTTCAAGTGCCAATTCTTCACATTTGCAGAGCTGTGGTCTCCCTGTATACTCCTCCCACACAGTCCCATTGCTCTTCATTTGCCAGCACCTGCCTCCCTTAATAAGCCCATGTTAATGCACACACCTGCAGCTGCTTCACTGAGTCCACCACACAGCCCCTTGCTCTGTACTTCATCTGCTTGATTATTGTACATTGTTTAAACTTACCTATACTTACACCAATGTTGCTCTTCTCAAACCCTGGAGAAGGCAGTATATTTTCAATGTAACCAAACTGGGGAGGAGAAACCAAGACAAACGCTAAGTCATCTGCAGTGGTGTCAGGGTCAGTGGCAAACAAATGGTTGGTGGTAAGGGCTGCCGAGGAGCCCTCCTCCACCACAAACCTTGCACCTGCACACAAACAATATGACAAGCATTATTGCTTTTTTAGTTCATTTGACTGTTGGGTTTGTTAACAAGAATGGAAAAAGTAACTAAGGGGAAAAAGAAAAAAAAATAGCTAAGTGGTTGAGGGAGCTTGGGTTAGGGCTTTTTTCTCTATTTACGCTATCAACTCTACTTTCACCATAATGTAAGTAGAGAGGAAGGGAATAGTGAAATTATTTTACTGGTGATAGTTTACGTGCTGCACAAAATCAGTTGTTACCTCTGTTTGTCAGAGCATTAATTACATGAGAGCTGTTGCGAATTGCTCATAATGAACAATTTCTCATGCATCACTGCTTAATTTCCCTGCTGGGACACTGCTTCATTTCCAGAACATTACTTGGGTGAGAGCCTGCAAATTACAAAACTACTCATACATACGCTCAAATATTCTCTGAGATACATAACATATACATGGTGTTTACAAAAAAATGACATTGAAAAAGACAAGTATGCAGAGAGCATACCTTTAATATGTCCTCATCCAAAGCCTGGGAAGTCAATGGAGATTTCACACAATGGGCTGTTACTGGACTAAATGTGCATTACTAACACTATTTCCATTTTGATTGAATATTTTTAATCCTGAAGACTACTAATGAAAATGTGGCTTCGCATCTATTAATTTGATCTGTTACATATATAGCCTACATTTGTCTTCATTCTCTAACAGAATTAAATACAGGTAATAAAATATTATCTCCCTTCATATAAGGGCCAGAGTCTACATTTCCCTTGTATACTTTACATGCAAAGGTAGATGGATATCTGTGGTTTTGTGCTCTATAAACCTGAAAATTGTATGGACATGAGTTCAGTTCAAGGACAAGTTAACAACCACTTTTACGGAGACACAGTGTACGAATGCAGCAATCGGCATGTATAGATGCAAGGGAGCAGATCTGATCATTCTGGTCTCTTACCACATGATTTAAACATACAGCCAGAAAAAACCACAAGCAGTTACTCATATTTGCACTGCAGCTGAATTTGGTGGCTGCCCTGTACTAGCAAAAGAAAAAAAGAAATATTGATAGAAATTCTGATCCAAAAATCTTGTATGCTGATCTCATCTGACTCTTCCTGGTGCCAAAACCCAAACAAACAAACAACTAGTCCCCTGAGTTTTCAGCCATTACAGTATTGCATAGCCCACATTATAATGCTACAGTGAGAAGAAGCTTTCACCAGTTGCAATTAATGGAGGCTGGTTGTCCACTGGCAATATGGTGATGTTAATATTGTATACTGGAAATCGATCATGAAGCAGAACTGGAGGAGGAAGAGGTCCATCATAACAGCAGTCTTTCACATCTATGCCAGCTTCTTTGTCAGAGACAAGAAAGGTTAAAGTGTCAATGAAAGGAGTCAGTCCAATCTCTCCACCTGGAAAAAAAAGTAGCAACTCAGAAGAAATATTTTTCCAAAACTTCCTGAAGAATTGTTTTTGTAATTCAAGGACTGTCTGCAATATTCAAACTCAGAAGAGTAAGACAGACCAAAACAGCAAAATCACTAAAATTCTTAATGTTGGCTGGTGGGGGTGCTGTTTGGTTAGAAATTTGGTTAGTTATTTGTAATTAATTTTAACAAGCTTAATTCTGTTTTAGAATAAAAGGATATGGAAGAGTATATAGCTAAGTTAATATTACTACTAGCTGCAATATTATTATTCCAATGGTATAATATTATATTGTCATTTTAATGAAATTGCTAATAGTTCTCATGATTCTGTTCTTTGTTCATGTGCAAAATGTATATTTGTGCAGAAAATTAGGTTTATTGGTTTTTTCTGCATCCTTGAAGAATGTTAGAAAATATCTTTCTTTTACATATACATATATACACACTGTTTCTATGACAAGTGACAATATCCATGCTTTTCCAGAAGAAAGCTTTTTTGCATACTGAGAAATATGTGTATTCCCATATGCCTCTTATCACTACAAAATGGACTATGACAAGGGCTGTGTTTTGTTACTGTACTGTATCTTCTGCCTACATGTAATCACGTTAAAAATGTGGGCTGATACAGCACAAAACCGGGAACTGTCACTCCTTGCAACAAGCATCTGAGGCAGAGTGTACTGCAGTTTCCAGCACTTCCAGCAGCCTCTGTCTTGCATTGCTGCAGGATATTACTGCCCATTAAAAGGAAAGGCAGTGACTCCTACCCTCTCTTGCACAATCTGCTGGCAGCACATTTAAGGTGTAGAAATTTGGTAATTAAAAACAAATGCACTTGAAGGTCAACTTCTGCCCTTCATTGCCTCTGCAAAACACTGCCAATGAAATAATGCTCCCATTTTCCTTAGGATGCTGAAGAAAAGTTTATTATCAGTGGCCATAATCAAGCACTTCCTTCTCTTCTCAAATACCAGCTGTTCATTTTAGACAGTGCCAAGCCTGAAAATATCACATTTATTCTGCATTCTCACACAAAATTACAGACTAATTACACAAAATCTGAAGCCTTTAAAAAAAAAACCCAACCAAAACAAAACAAAAACCAAACAAAAGCTGTCATCAGAGATGTAGAAAAGAGAACCTCTTTACTGCTAATGAAAGGACCACATTAAGGAGGAAAGGGAGTTAAATGGCTCTTAATTTCTCTAAGTAATTTTTAAAAGTATTTGTTTAATTTTAAAGATTAAACCACAAAATAACGTAGTTAGCACTGTAGTTCTCTTGAAGAAAATCTGAGTATCATTTTTCTTCTGGTACTGAAAGACTATAAGAGCTCCAAAAGTGGATATTCATCTAGATTGGAGAAGCAAGCAAGTAGTACCTTAGGTTGTCACAAGCTTTCTATTAAAACTACGCATCCTCATTTACAGTATTACAGTATTTTATCTAAACATGACTATAGAAAAGTTAGACTTTTTTTTTTTCTTTTTAGTATCATCCAATAAATAAGACAACTCTATTTTGTACCTAATTTAATAGTAGTTTTGCCAAAAAAGCCCAGGATATTTTATAAGCAATAGTGAAAGAAATCCTCTGGGATTATGATGCTTTCATCTATTTGCTCTGATATAATTTTGAGATCAAACAGGAATTTGGAGTACATATTACAACGTTTGGTGGTTGTGTATCATCACTCCTCTTTCTAAACCAGATTCCTTTTAACTCCAGTCACAATAAATATGATTTCTGAGTAGTTTCTGCTGAATTTCTGCAGAGATTATATGGTTCAATTTATAAGTTTTCTGCCAAAAACTCTCTGACCACCTCCCAGTCTAATTCTCCTTAACTCACTTACTAGTGTGTTTATATGTGACTAAACCAGAGGTGACATCAGCCTGGGAGAAACGATCCACAGCAATGCCAGCTTTCCTCAATATCCCATGGTAGGGCTGGTGAGCCAGCACAAACATCAGTTTCATGTCATCACTGTCTGCATCTGTGGCATAAATATACTTTGAGGAGAGGACCACTTCTTCACCCTCCAGGCAGTGAAGCACAGGAACAGGGTCTGTTCGGATAACGGGTGGCTCATCGTTCACAGGCGACACCTAATCAGAAAAATAATTTCTGATAATAAACAGGAAAATATCTTTTTCATTTCAATGAAAATCTGTTGTTTCAATACATTTCTTTCCAGCTCAAACTGTAAGTGCTATAGCTTGCAAAAGAAATTTCATTCGTTGTATTTAAGTACAGAGAGAATAAGTTCAGCAGAAGAACCCAAGCTAGAGCAAGGACAAGTGCCTTTCATCTAGTATAAACCAAATCTCAAATTTGTCACATAGGTCTGAAAGCTGGGGCAGAAATTGAAAGCATAAAACGTCCATTATTTTCCAATTTCCTGGGAAAAGTGAATATTTTCAGAAATCAAGCTTTGTGCTGTTCTACACAGGCAATTTTTCTCAGGAATAGGCAAAATACTGACCTTGACCTGCAGGCTGAACTCTACAAAGTGAATGCCATCTGTGGCTGCAAAGAGGACAACATCAGTGAGAGTCTCGGAGCCATCATGCCTATACCTTTGGGAAAATTTAAAAAATCATAATTAAAAAAAAAATTCACATATGCAAAGAAGTTGTGCTTTTTGGTCAAGCCAGACAATGTGGAACCCTTCCAATATCCCTTCCAATCCCTATCTAAGACTGCTGGTTCTGGATCAGAGTGCCTCCAGAGGGCCTGTGGGGCTCCTACAAGAAGAAAGCCCTAGATGTAAGCCAGACTTCAGCTGGGAAAAAGGGAAGAAAGTTTCACTGAAGCTGTTTCTTCTGTGTTATGGCTGCTTGTGTCATCTCTGCAGTAGCTGTCCTCTTTGGGTATTGCTCTGGTGAGTATAGCTAGCTGTAGCCTCTGCACTTCACAACACTTCACTGCAGGCTTTTACTCATCCAATGGAAAAACTCACCCACCAAAAGAGGAAAAGGCAGCCACTCCTCTAACCTGACTGCCAGGGTATACAGGTGCCCACAGGAAAACCTATCGCCTTCATTCATGGGAATGCTGTCCAGCTCCACCACCCCATGCTCAGGCTGTCTCTGCAGGAGGAGGAATAGATGTTCCTGTTTTGTGTCCACATCAGAGATGAGAATGTGTGCCTCTGTGACAGGGCTCAGGCCACCCTCTTCCACTCTCAAATGGCTTGTAGAAACCTGCATGGAGGAGAAATGTTGGACTCTCTTTTCTACTGCACCTCCACAGATACACCAAACGAGGAAATTTCAATTTATTCTGATATGACAATATGCAATACCTTAAAAAACAACACTCCAAAGGGTGTACTCCTTTCTGCTGCATTATAAAAACCTAAGGAATTTGCTAATAGTAGGCCTTAATACACACAGTCAAGCCCTTATCCCAGTCATGGAGGCTTCTGGCCTTCATCGGCAATAGGCAGCTCAAAGAGGAGGGATGCAGTTTTGCTAACCAGGATGTGACATACATCTTTTTGTACAGCCACTCAGACACTGAAGTTAACCCTCATCTTATTTAGCACCTTGTGCCCACACCAGACCTCACCTTCCACTTCAGTCTCAAAGTAGGCTACATGCAAAACATGAAACCCTGATCCCATGGAAGCTCCATTTTTTATTTCAGTCAGATCAGGGCATCTCTCTGCATTTCTGTTTCTACCTAAAGCCATTTCCAAGTCCTTCCCTTTCACCCTTACCACCACCCTACCTCTGGGGCTTGATTGTCCACAGGAAGGATTGTAATATTGAAGCAGATACCATACAAAGTTCCACCATGCTGATTGCTGACAGCAAAAATAAACTGGACCTGCTGAGGTTCAGGCCCGATGTCTTGCAGAGGTGGCATGTAGGCAATTTTCATATAGTTCACTGCATGCTGCAAAAAGAGCAGAAGTTTGCAGGTAGGAAGAGATGATGAGAGTAGCCATAATTCAAGATATTAGGGACTTTTCTCATCTTCTGATTAGATGTTACCTGAGCTGCCAAAATAAATTCCAGAAACATTTTTTTCTTTAGCTACTCGCGATGTATTGATTAAATCCATCTTTATAAATTCACTGAGTACGAGATCAAATACTCAGACTTGTGGCAAAAAATACAGACAAGGTTTATAGCAGAGACAACAGCCTTACCTTACTGAGGGAAGCCTTTAAGAATACTGATGCCAGGGCCTTTTCTAACTGTGACTTTAAAATAAACAATCCATCAAAGCATAGCTTTTAATGTAACATCTCCCATAGCAGTAGAATTTGCCCTCACCCATATGAATAAACTGCACACCTTGTCTCCCCAGGTGAGGGCAGGCTGGTAAAGAGGCTAATCACAAAAATCTGGCATCCAGGCACCCATATTTGTGTGTGAAATAACTGATTTGTAGGCTCAGAGCTCTCATTATGGTACTGCAATTATGCAACTTTAACAATACAGCAAGATATAAAACAGGGCACTTTGCTAATTCTCATTAAGACATCTGTCAATCTACAGAAGTACAAAAACTGAACAACAAAGTACTGGAAAAGGTCTGTTCCAGCCTGTACCATATCTACGAACAGAGACAGGTAGAAGAAGCAGGAAACTGTCAAGTTCTCATTTCCAAATTTTATGAGGTTTTTTCCTTCCTCTTAACATCATGGTGGAGACAAATTCAGCCTATGCTAGGAATTGCAGCGCTGCTGGTTTCAGAAAGAGATTTGTGTTTACATATTACAGAAAATAAAGCATGATGGAAACGGTTGAAAACTGGTTATGGTATCAGGTAACAAAACAAACCTGAGTAAATGAGTGCAGGGCAAGAGCAACAGGATCCTTGACCAGTTTGGGGATAGTGTCCACCAGAAATAACTTGCCAGCATCCAAGTCACTGTACAAAGATACTTCTGTCAGATCCTCATTAGCAATATTGAAGAACAGGAAGAACAGCAGTCACATAGCTCAAGCTTGCAGTTCACATTAGCTCCCTACTTTCAACTGCATTGACAGGAAAAACATTTTTCTTTCTTCTATCCTTGTTGTCTACCTAAATGTTATCACAGAAAGCTGGCCACAAGAAATATTTTTCAAGATAGTTACAAAAAATCATTGCATACCTTATAAGCAAGTTCTGGGTTTGTCTCTGCACACCCTAGATAAAAATAACATCACCTGCAAGCCTAGTCCATAACATTATTACCTACACACCTATGTTTATCTTTACATATCAAAAGAAATTATTTCTAGTTTACACGCATCTTACAAACTGAACAGTTTCCAGCAAGCCACCTTTCCAAGAGCAGTAACAAGCAAACTGGATAAGCATGTGGCTGTTTGAATACGCGAAAAGCCTAAATGTCCTTCTGTCCCAGCTGCTAACTGATTATCCTCTGTTGCTTGAGGTCAGAATTGAAAGTGTTGATCTTGATTTTAAACCATACAATGGCTGGATTTTAACTTTCCTATTTAGCAATTTGTTCCTGATGCTGTCAAGAATTTACCAAATGATGAAACACCATCAGTGACATGTAATTGCTACCACACCCATTCATTCCTTACCCCTGTTACACCCATAACCTGTTTTGTCTGCATTCTGCTCCACAGGTTCCTGGTCTAGGACCAGGAGTTTCCCACAGTGCATGGTAATAATACATAGCCTAGAAAATCCTGTCGCAAGTCAACTTCTCAGGCTGGGTCAGCCACACTCTGTCAGTTAGGAGAGGTGCTGTGACTTGTGCTCAGTGCTGTACAGGATCCTACAAGTCAGTGTAAAACACAATTCCAACAGAAGAAAAAAAAAATACTGTGCTTTCCTCCTTTTTATTTCTTTCTCAACAATGCTTTTTGTATATTATTCTGTTGCTTTCTGCTCTAACTCACCAATAACCATCAACAAAAGAGCCATACATAGCTATTGTCACCTGTGCTTCAAGCAATCAGATGAAGAGCCTAAAGCACAAACATGCTGCTGCCACTGAGGCTGCTCCTCTTACAAAGATCATTGTCCTGTCCCACCTGGAAGGTATGGCATGTGACACCTACCCATGTGCACAAGAGAAAAATGGGTAAGTGGTTATGGTGTATGTGAGTTCCCTGTCTTGCTCTTCCACATCTATGAAGTGGAGATGTTTCTTAGTTAGGTGAGCAATCTCAGTCTCCTTAACAACCAGGTGGCGGGTCGCTCCTGGGGCTTCCCTTGGTAGCTGATCATCCACAGGGATAATGTGTACCATCATCACCTGTAATGAGGAAGACAGTAAAATCAGCAGACTTTCCGCCCAACAGAGACTGTTCAAACAGCTGTTCTCAGACAGAATTAAGTGGATCACTGAAGTATGAGATATAGGATGTGGCTGTCATGCCTTATCATGAACACATGAGTAATGGAGATATACAACATTAAAATGCAAAGCCTATGAGTCTTAGTGGTGTCCCTGTAAATTAAAAGCAAAGTTAAATTCAGTATGTTTTACTCCTGGGTAAAATAAATTGTTTATTCTTAGTTTACTTCAGGAGGGCTGTTCAGTTTTTTTTCTACACTCTCCAAATCAACTTTGTTTTCAACGTTTCACTTCACGGTGTAGGAAAAGTCTTTGCAATGGACTTGTCTCTCTGAGATCAGGCAGAGAGAATTACCCCAGGGAAAGGAAGAACAAGAGCTAGCTCTGAATAACGTTATTAGTGGTGATGACCATGGAAGTGATTGATCCTCTGTACTTGGCATCGGTGAAGCCACACCTCGAATACTGTGTCCAGCTTTGGGCACCTCAATACATGAAAGACATTGAGGTGCTGGAGTGTGTCCAGAGAAGAGTGACCAAGCTGGTGAAGGGCCTTGAGAACAAGTCTTATGACAAGCAGCTGAGGGAGCTGGGGCTGTTTTGTTTGAAGAAAAGGAGGCTGAGGTGAGACCTCATCACCCTCTACAGCTACTTGACAGGACACTGTAAAGAGATAGACGCTGGTCTCTTCTCACAAGTAACTGGTGATAGAACGAGAGGAAATGGCTTCAAGCTGCAGCAGGAGAGGTTAGACTAGACATTAGGAAGAACTTTCTCACTGAAAGGGTTATCAGACACTGGAACATGGTGCCCAGGGAGGTGGTAGAGTCACCATCCCTGGATGTGTTTAATAGTTGTCTAGATGTGGTGCTTGGGGACATAGTTTAATGCTGGACTTGGTAGAGTAGTGTTAATGGTTGGACTAGATGATATTGAAGTTCTTTTCCAACCTAAGTTATTCTGTGATTCTGTGATGGGAAACAGAAAATATCTGTGCCAGTTTGATTAACTGAAGGAAGTCTGTCAGAAGTTGTAAAATTATCAGCCATTTGAAAGAAAAAAATATCAACTTTGCCAGAAATTGCTTCAGTTTCATACCTGTGGCTCTGAGAGATTGGGAGGGTCATGGCTATCACACAGCACAAACTCAAGGGAATCCTCAAACACTTCTCCTCCCAAATGATGATAATAAACTATTCCATTAAATAGATCCCTCTGAAGAAAACTGCTGACAGCATAGCCTGTTGAATTGAAGAATATATATTCTAAGTAACAGTGTATTATTTTAACCATTCATAAAAATTACCAATTAACTGTGCAGGTAACTGGTGAAGCATAATATCCTCTTTCTTACTCTAACTAAAGCAAGTATTTTGAAATGCTACCTCATTATCTTCCATGTTTCCTGAAGATCATCACTTTCTTTTCAACATCACTTAAAGGTCATACAACAATGAAGCAACACAGCAAATGGGCCTAAAGCCTTGTTCAGAGGACAAAAGAGAATTTGCAGCACTAACTTCAATCTAGCACAGAGATTTATGAGTTCAGAGAATGTAAGGAGATCTTTCTTCTTCTTTTAACATCATTAGCATCATCTAATAGCTTTGAGCTTGTCAGGGATCCTTGCAGATAAAATAATTCCTGACTAGCCCAACTTTTCTGAAGGAGAAAAATGCAGTAAAAAAACAGGCTCAGAATGGAAGAATTGTGGGATAAATTGTGTTCACAGGTATAGTTATCTTGGTGCATAGACCAGCATTAATTAATGATGGGGATTTACAGTATAATGAAAGAAGTCCTAATTCGCCATGGTTTGTCCTGAGCTAAAATAAATTGTCTAATTGTATTGTTAATCTGGCTAAAAAATGAGAGGAAAAAGTAAAGTGTGCTACTGTGGACTTGTTTCACTACCTATCAAGTTTGGTCCTGGTTTCTTCATGATTTCTCCAGCCTGTGGGGGCTTGGTAATATTGAATAGTATGTAATCATCACTGGAATCCATGTCAGAAGCACGAAGCATGGAGCCCTGAATCAAGATCATCTGTCCCTCATGAACTTCAATAACCATATTGCTGATAAGAAATGGAGGACTGTCATCTTTAGGGAGAATATTGATTGGAAACTTATGGCGAATACTGTGGGGGCCATCAAAAATCCGAAAAACCACAAAGTCCTTAGTAGAGTCGCTGTCATCATGATGGTAGAGAACAACTCCAGCCTGAATGTCAGAGACTGTGAACATGAATCCTTTCCCTCCTGTCAAAACAGTGGAAAAAAACACATTAAAATTGTTCAGTTCATCCCAGAGGAGAATCCTTCCACCAGTATGAACAGAGACAGAGAATGCATTTCTGACTAGAAAAATCAAAGATAACTTCACCTACTGGAAACAAGGTTGCAGAAGTTGACATGGTTAATAAGAATGCAGAATTTGCAACTGTGGTTTTGGTCAAAATCTTCCACATGTCCATGGCACTAAAGATAATCGGAAACATCAAAGATTTTTGTCTGAAACTGTTTCCTCTGAGATTTCAACCTCTGCTTTCTTTTCATAACATTCTACATGTATTGTAAGCATCAGCATTGTGCTGACTCATGAGGTTGCAAAGCAAAATTAGTTGTATTTACAATGCAGAAGACTAACAAATTAGAAATCTAATTTAATTGCTACTTTCTGAAATAAACCTGGAAGCTGTCAGTAAATAAAAATTGTATCTAAATGTTGTCAGTATTGGCCAGAAAACCAAGATCACTCAGCATTCCTTACCAGATTCAAGAAACTATGAAAGAAGTTAAGGTAGTCATTGCATTTCACGTAGGTCATGCCTGCTCACTGAAAGCATAGGTGATTTGTTTAAAATTTCAGCTTCTGCATGTAAACGAACATTAAGAAAATAGAAGTTGAAATACTGAATTTTTCAATACTCTTGTTTTAATCCTCGGGTCTGTCAGGGCTGTAGAAAGGGTAGCCAGTCATTAGCGGGAACAGAGCTGGCTGGCAAAGCTGCAGTGGCATGGCAGCACAGTCTGCCAGGGTGTTACCCATCATTTAGCCTTGGTGGGACAGGGTGACACCAGGCCTGCTACCTGCCCTTACTAGCTGCATTAGCTCACCTGGGCTGAATTCCCCTCCAGTGAAGAAAGTAAGAACCCGTTTCATTTTCAAGATATCTCCCATTTAAAGATGAAGATAGCATAAATATATTATTTGCAACAGTGTCTAAGCTATGCAGGTGACTTACTTTATGAGTTTGTGAATTTTTTAATTTCTTACTGTGCATCCAGGTATTCCTTCCACACCTTCATTCCCTTGTAAATCCGGCTCTTGTGCTGGCAGGCCTCAACAGGGAGTGACTTAGGACAGACTATCAACATCTTATTGATGGTCATGTTATCATAGCCAGCTGTCACTGCAGAACACATTCCCAGGCCCTCCAGTTGAAGTTATTTACCTCTTACGGTGAGCCGCCCGTGCTGTAAGCCATCAATTGTGACCAAGCGAACATTTTGGATGTCGTCATTGTCTACAATTTGGAAGTGTTGCCAAGTGATGGGTCGGGATTGCCCTTCCAGGAGGTTGAGGCCTGGAAAGAGCGGAGCGTTATTTCACCAAAACATCTGCAGCATTCAAGGCTGTCAGCATCTAACCTTCCTAAAGATTTTTGCAGTCAGCAAAAAACACATGTTTAATTCCACCTACATTCCTGCCTGTGACAGATATTTCAAGGCCAGCCTCAAAGCTTGGTAAGAGCTTTTATTCTGACATACTTGCCTTTGTCAACTGTCCTTAAGGATTTTCTTTTAAAATAGCATATTCTGGTTCCCAGTTACATGACAGACTACCTAGGCACATTTCGAAACATTTGCACAAGCTGGAGCATTACACCTGTGCACTTAGATTTTTTTAGTGAGTCTCCATTTAAAATTTTATCTTGATCTTCATAACAGAGGACAGTGTCCCTTCTTTTTCCTCAACAGTCATTTCAGGTGGTGTTTCTCTAGGAGATATGAGGCCTCTTCTCAGCTCCTTCCCTGTTCTACTGAGGAGATTGCATTCTCTCATTCTTGAAGAAAATGCTGCATACTGAAATCTTCATTTTCTTCTAATGTCCTTTTTTTCTTTATTTTTCATTCCAGTAAAAACTTAGGACTTCTTTGAGTTGTTGTAACATGTTCCCCCAAAAATGTATAAAGGAAAAAATGGATTTACACTGCCTTAGTTTAGTGATCCTTTAACTGCAGGTGTTAACCTGAATTTTAGAGCTTTGTTAAATATCTCTGTTAAAATGTTCTAAATTCTGTAGGGAGGAAAAAACCCAAAACAAACAAACAAAGAAAAAACTGAGGAAAGTAGAGCTCACCTGTATTCCATGAAACCCGAGGAGCATTTGTATCTGTTGTTCTGATGGAAAGACGTACAACAATTGGTAAACTTCTTTCAAAGTAAAAGTCATGAACTTCAAACTCCACCTGATGTGAAAAAAGGCAAATTATTTATAAAAAAAAAATAATTGACCCTAAAAGCCAGCTGTGCCAAAACCCACATATATAGAGTGCTATCCTGTGATATCTTAAATTATTCGGATAATATGTTAATAAATTAAACTGATTCTGCTTCTGAAAAGAAGCTTTGAGGTTCTGCACCAAATTAATTATGTCCTTCGCA